TTCTGAGCTAGACCACTATGAGGAGCGAGAGAGAGAGTGGAGGTCAAAAGAAGAGGCCAGCAAGCTGGATATGAAGGAAAAGATCGGAAAGGCCATGAAAGAGTTACACTGTATTCCTAAAGTCACCAGTTTGAGTTATGAGGATTTATGTATTCATCTGAATTTGAACCTCCCGAAAAGGTTCAAGGTGCCAATGTTCGACGTTTTCGGAGGAATAGGGAACCCCTTAGTGCACCTGAGGGCCTACTGTGACCAGCTCGTGGGAGTTGGAAGAGATGAAGCTTTACTGATGCGGCTTTTTAGCCGAAGTCTGAGTGGAGAGGCTCTGGATTGATTACATTGCATGAAAGGAGAAAATGACCTAGCTAGAATGCTCTGGCTAAGGACTTCATTGAACGATTCACCTACAATGTAGAGATCGTTCCAGATCATTATTCTTTCAAAAAAATGAAGCAGAAATCAAATGAAAGTTACAGAGAATTTGCATATAGATGGAGAAAGGAGGGAGCTAGAGTTCGGCCTCTTACGTTTGAGAAGGAAATTGTTGAAGTATTTTTGCGGGTTCAAGAGCCCGAATATTATGATAGAATTATATTGCTCGTTGGAGCAATGTTGTTTGAGTTAGTCAAAGTAGGTGTGACTATCGGAGTTGGACTACGAACCGGGAAGATTGCCCGTGTTGCTGCCTTGCTCGGATCCTCCGGATTGTTAAAGAAGAAAAGAGAAGATGTGTCTTTTATCTCTTGTGAGGGGAAGAAGACCCCAAGGAAATCCTTATCATACCAAGGTCGTTCTCGACCTTCACAGAGTTCGTATTCGGCTTGTTATGCACATGGTCATTACCAAAATACCCCTCCCCACAGTTACCAAAATACCAATCCACCCACAGTTAACAAAGTTATTCGAGCGATTAGCTGCGGTAAGATATATTCATCCAGTGGGGCCCAAGCCGGTTGACTCTAGCTCAAAGTTTTACATACCTGACCAGAGGTGTGCATATCACTCCAACAATGTTGGACATGATGCCGAGGACTGTAACAACCTAAAGCATAAAATCAAAGACCTAATTGACCAGAACTTGGTCTCTCTTCAGACGGTCTCTCCCAATGTCAATAGTAATCCTTTGCCAAATCATGGAGGCGTCACTATCAAAATTATAGAGACAGATGATGATTGGTACGTGACAAAGGCAATAGTTCCAATTGCTCCTGATGAGCTGGAAAGGGCAGTAGACTCATTGAGCACTAGACAAAAGAAAGAGTTTGTGATTCTGACACCCTAGAAGGCTGTTGCCTTGGGGCCATGAGAAACTCTTGCCCGACAAAAGTTTGTGATTGAAACGGCTGTTACCTAGGGTATGACCAGATGTAGCAAGTGCTACACGCCAGAATAGTTGATCCAGGGTGTGCAGAAGAAGTACCAAACAAAAAGGCCGATCTGTGAAGCCGAGGCCGCGGAGTTCTGGAGAAAAATGCAGCCAATAGATTATTAAATTGTGAAGCATTTGGAGAAGACGTCGGCTCAAATCTCTGTGTGGGCCTTATTGATGAGTTCGCAGTTGCATAGGCAGGCTCTGATGAGGGCTTTGGATGATACTTATGTGCCTGTGGGTACTAACAGTGACAATCTAGTAGCCATGATAAACCAGGTCATTGAAGGACACCGAATCAGTTTTTGTGACGAAGAGTTGCCCTTTGAAGGTAGGATGCACAACAAAGCTCTGAACGTCATCATCAAATGTCGTGACAAAGTTATAAATCGTGGTTTGGTCGATGACGGGCCAGTCTCAACATCTACCCGCTTTCAACCCTCAAGCTGCTAAAATTCGACTTGGGAAAGGTTCAACAAAACCAGGTCAATGTGAGAGCTTTCGATGGAGTGCAGAGAGACACGATAGGGGCAGTAAACTTGGGAATTCAGATGGGCCCTACAGAATTTAACGTGGAGTTCCAGGTGTTGGATATTAACACTAGTTACAACCTGCTTCTGCGAAGACCATTTATCCATATGGTTGGGGCTGTGCTATCTACCCTTCACCAACTGATAAAATTTATTTGGAAGGACCAGGAATTGTTCATTCATGGTGAAGGAAGTCATTCTGATGGGTATGCACCAATCGTTGATGAGGTCTCCCGAGGTTGAGATTTTTACACGGTGGAGCTGGTAAAATGCCACCGGTGATGATTAGGCTCTGCTACCTCTTATGGCTGCCGTATACAAGATGATTGCTACTGTCATGCTCTAGTATGGTTTCAAACCAAGTATTGGATTGGGGAAGCACTTTTAAGGAATTGTTGAGCCTATTCAGATCCCCGCCAAATGAGCAAAGTTTGGTTTGGGGTGTGTCCCCACGATGCTGATGAAGCAGAGATGAAGAACAAAAGTGTTGATCAAGCATTGGCCAAGCCAATTCCTCATCTATACCAGTCATTCCCGATGCGGGAGCATGCTATCGACAGCGGTCTGGTGGAAGGAATATAGGGCATGTTCGAAGAAATTAATGTGGTCATCGAGGAAGAGGCTGGGAGATCGAGCATCCGTGATGCAGAACCTGAGGAGCAATTGCAAAATTGGACCTCCACATCGCTCTTGATTTCCCGTGCATCTTGGTAGAAAAGGCACGTGCTTATGTTTGTTTTTAAAATTGGTGGTAGTCTGGAAGAGGCCCGAGACCCACCCTTTATGTAGTTTTACTTGTTTGAAGTTTTTAAATTCCCTTGTGATGTTTAAAAAGGCAAAATGGCCCTTGGCCATGGACATAGTTTCGCTTGTTTTTTTAATTTAAATGAAAGCCTCTCTTTTAAAAAAATTGTTTAATTACTAATCTGTTTATATTTTACTTTCCTAATTCCGTTTGTTTATGATTTCAGTAATATTAATTTAAAACCTACAAATGTCATGTCATGTTACGAGCCAAATGAACAAAATGAGACAGGTGACGAGGAATGCAAAGAATATGAAGAAGAAAATGAGGTACCTGCACATGTTGCTGAAGAGTTCCGACAATTTGAGAATCAACACAAACCAAATTTGGAAGAAACTGAGACTGTAAATCTCAGAAATGAGGAGTGTGTCAAAGAAGTAAGAATAACCGTCCATCTGATTGAAGCTCAAAGAAGGGACCTGGCCCACCATCTTAGGGAATACATTGATGTATTTGCCTGGTCTTACAAAAGATATGCCGGGACAGAGTATGAATATGGTGTCCCACAAGTTGCCGATTAATCCAGATTTCAGTCCAGTAAAACAAAAGACTCGGAAGTTCAAGCCTGAGCTGAGTTTAAAGATCAAAGAAGAGATTACCAAGCAGATCGAGTCTCAAGTACTGGAAGTGACACAATATCCGACTTGGTTAGCGAACGTCGTTCTGGTTGCAAGGAAAGACGGAAAAATCAGAATTTGTGTTGACTATAGAGATCTCAACAAAGCTAGCCCGAAAGACAATTTTCTATTACCGAACATCGACATTCTCATTGATAATTGTGCTAAGCATGAGATGCAGTCATTTGTGGATTGTTTTGCGGGTTACCACCAAATCTTGATGGATGAGGAAGATGCAGAAAAGACAACTTTCATTATGCCTTGGGGTGTATACCATTATCGGGTGATCCCTTTTGGTTTCAAGAATGTTGGCGTTACTTACATGAGGGCCATAACGACCATCTTTCACTATATGATTCACAAAGAGATTGAAGTGTATGTAGACGATGTCATAATCAAGTCCCGTGAGAGTACAGATCGCTTGGCTCACTTCAGGAAATTCTTTGATCGCTTGCGTCGATAAAATTTGAAGTTAAATCCCGCCAAATGTGCTTTTGGAGTGCCAGCTGGCAAGTTGTTGGTATTTATAGTTAGAAGGAGGAGCATTGAGCTTGACCCCTCCAAGATCAAGGCAATCCAAGAATTACCTCCTCCGAAGACCAAGAAAGAGGTGATGAGCTTCCTGGGAAGGCTGAACTACACCAGCTGGTTCATAGCTCAATCTACCGTGGTATGTGAGCCCATCTTCAAGTTATTGAAAAAATATGCCTTGACCAAATGGACTGGAGAATGTCAAACTGCTTTTGATGCCATCAAGAATTATTTGTCCAATCTACCGGTGTTAGTTCCTCCGCGAGAAGGGAGTCCATTGTTGCTATATCTGTCTGTCTCGGATAACGCATTTGGATGTCTGGTTTGTCAACATGATGAAACTGGGAAGAAGGAGCAAGCCATTTATTATTTGAGCAAGAAGTTCACTCGATATGAGGCTCGTTAAACTCTTTAGGAGAGGACATGTTGTGCTTTGCCTGAATTGCGCAGAAGTTGAGACATTATTTGTCTTCTTATATCACGTATCTCATTTCCAGGATATACCCATTGAAGTATATTTTCCAGAAGGCAATGCCAACCGGAAAGTTGGCTAAATGGCAAATGCTTTTGAGTGAGTTTGACATCGTTTATGTGACCCAGAAGGTGATAAAAGCACAAGCCTTGGTTGATCATCTGGCAGAGAATCCAGTTGATGAAGAGTATGAACTGCTCAAGACTTATTTTCCCAATGAAGAGGTTGCATTTGTGGGTGAATATATTTCTAAAGCATACCCTAGTTGGAGAGTGTTCTTTGATGGAGCGGCGAATTACCAAGGGAAAGGTATCGGAGCAGTCTTAGTGTTAGAATCTGGTCAGCATTATCCTATGGCGGCTAAACTACGATTTGATCGCATAAACAACATGGCTGAGTATGATGCTTGCATCCTAGGTCTGAGGATGGCCATTGTTATGAATGTTCACGAGTTGCTGGTTATTGGAGATTCATATTTTCTAATTCACCAAGTTCAAGGAGAATGGGCCATGAAGAACCCAAAGATCACGCCGTACGTGCAGTATATACAGAAGTTGTGTAAGAATTTCACAATATTGAATTCAGACACACTCCCAGGATATAAAACGAGTGGGCCGATGCTCTTGCCACCATTGCCTCATTGATCAAACATCCAGATACAAGTTATATTGATCCAATGGATATAGAGGTAAAAGAGCAGCCTGTCCATTGTTCACATGTTGAAGCAGAATTAGATGGTTTGCCTTGGTATTTTGACATGAAGAAGTATTTAGAGACCGGCACTTATCCTGTGAATACAACGGTCAACCAGAAGAAGTCAATATGCCATATGACCCTCAATTTCATTGAAAGTGGGGAAATCCTTTATAAGAGAACTCCAGATTTAGGTCTTCTCAGATGCGTTGATGCTAGTGAAGCTCCAAAGCTTCTGGAACAGATACATGCCGGAGTTTGTTGTACTCACATGAATAGGCTCACTTTGTCAAGAAAGATCTTTCGAGCCGGTTATTTCTGGATGACTATGAAGCATGATCGTTGCAAGTTTGTGCTGAAATGTCATAAATGCCAATTGCATGGCGATTTGAGTCGGGTCCCACCTCACGAACTCAATGCTATGAGTTCACCTTGGCCTTTTGTAGCGTGGGGCATGGATGTCATCGGTCCAATAGAGCCAGCCGCCTCTAACGGACACAGATTCATTTTGGTTGCCATTGACTACTTCACCAAGTGGGTGGAAGCAGCTTCGTATAAGTCAGTGACTAAGAAAGTTGTAGCTGATTTTGTTCGCAACAATTTGATATGTAGGTTTGGAGTACCAGAATCCATCATTACTGATAATGGAGCGAATCTTAACATTCATCTGATGAGAGAGGTATGTGAACAATTCAAGATTACTCACCAAAATTCAACCGCTTATCGTCCCTAAATGAATGGAGCTATAGAAGCCACCAACAAGTATATGAAGAAGATTCTGAGGAAAATGATTGACAATCATAAAGGTTGGCATGAGATGTCGCTATATGCTCTGTTGGGTTACAGAACGACTGTCAGAACGTCAATTGGAGCTACTCCATATTTGTTAGTATATGGAAAAGAAGCAATTATACCTGTCAAAGTTGAGATCCCTTCATTAAGAATCATCCAAGAAGCTGAATTGAGTGATGCTAATTGGGTTCGCAAGCGGATTGATCAACTAACATTGATTGATGAGAAGAGAATGGTTGTTGTTTGTCATGGTCAACTTTATCGACAGAGGATGATTCATGCTTTCCACAAGAAAGTAAGAGCCAGAATGTTTGAGATTGGTCAGTTGGTTCTCAAGCGCTTTTTTCCTCATCAAGCTGAGTACAAAGGGAAATTTGCGCCAAATTGGTAAGGACCCTACATGGTTCGCAAAGTAATATCTGGAGGTGCCTTGGTCCTGTCGGAGATGGATGGCACCGAATGGCCTAAACCGATCAACTTAGATGATGTCAAGAGATACTATGTGTGAAGTTTCAGTTTGCACTTCTGTCATTCCCTCGTAATCATTTTACTTACTTGTAATCGCTTTGTTTCGAATTTTATCCCTCTTGTAATGAACTACGTCTGACCTGAATTCTCAACAATGAGATACGTAGGCGGCCTATGTCGGCCTCGGTCACCCCTTT